GTTAAGTACATTCTATTCCTTGATAATTTCTGACACTAGAAATTAATAAGACCTTCTCTATTCTAAGATCATTTAATTTTTAGTTGTATTTTCTTACATGTCACTAGTTTAAACCTTGCAATAGCTCTTCAAACTCTGCTACAAGGAGGACCTGGCCAGTGCCTTCAGAAAAATGACTGCTGAGGCTTTTTAAATATAGATTGGACATTGGTGAAACAAACCATTAAGGGTGTCCTGTAAAGGAGAAGAGAGAGATCTTTTATGTTTATTATTAACCAATTCTTTATACTATCTCCAGTAGATCTGTTAACTTGCTCTTTGAGAATAAGAAGTTTAAAATGAAAAAAGTGTTCATGTTAGGTTTATATTAAAATATTAAACTGGTGGGTGTGATGACTCTTCTTACCTTTGCCAGAAACAGCAGTTGTCTTATATAGAAAATAACTTTGTTATATTCACTGATGTGTTTCTTGCAAGCACAGTGCATGCACTTGACAAACATGGGTTGGAGTTGATGTTTCACCAACTAGAGCTATGTATATGCCAGGTTTTGGGTGAGAGAGGCAGGGATAATAAAGTCTGGACTTCATAGCTTCGTACGAAAAAGGCGCAATGTAAGAAAAACTCCAAATGAAGGTAGAAACTACATTTCAGTTTTACTTTTTAGTTGACTGTAGAGATATTGATCTACGTGTAAATGTGAAACTGCCTCAAGCCTGGCACAGTAGGATGTGGTGCTGAATACTGGAAAATATTCAGAGAAAAAAAAATTCTGTTGGGCAGATCATTAAGCAAAACAGTGGCATCCACCCACTAAAAGAGATAAGAGGCACTACCCTACTTCATCTGACTCTTTGGCATCTGTCCAAAGGAATAAAAATCAGATCCGGCTTGATTTGAACATAACAAGGAAGAAACAGTTCTCAAGAAGATCCTTTTTCACAATGGGGGAAGTGAGAGGGTCATTTTGTATAATAATGGAAAAATCAATTATTTTTCAATCAGATGGAGTGTCCTCATAAATTTAATCACAGAACAGCATGTGACAAGCCTTCATAAAAAACAATGACCATGAGGGAGAGAGTAAAGGATCATAATCCCAAGGTTGCTACTAAGAAGGAAAGATCTCTCAAGAGGAGAATGACATTTTTCCTGCTAGTGTGTTTTCTGTGAATGTACACAGCGGTATGCACTGAATGCACATCATCCTGCACAATTTGCCTCTACAGAATCCTGTTTAACTGGCTTCCCATTTGGCAATGGCTTTTAAGTAACACGCTGAAATCCTTTCTCTGTAGCATGATAATGCAGTAGTAACACAGAAAAACCCTAAAGATTGATTCTTCTTCCTGACAAAAATTAAAAGTATACTATATGTAATATATATTTATATATATATTAGCAAGAAAATAAGAAAGTAGAAATACTTTTGACAGAATTTAAAAGTTAAATTCTGGCCAGGTGTGGTGGTTCACACGTGTAATCCCAGCATTTTGGGAAGTTGAGGCAGGAGGACTGTTTGAGTCCAGGAGTTCCAGACCAGCCTGGGTAACATGGTAAAACCCCATCTCTGCCAAAAATACAAAAATTAGCCAAAAACAATGGTGGCATACACCTGTAGTCCTAGCTACTCAGGAGGCTGAGGTGGGAGGATTGCTTGAGTCCAGGAGGTTGAGGCTACAGTGAGCCCTGATAGTGCCACTGCACTCCAGCCTGGGTAACAGAGAAAGTCAGTCAGTCAGTCTCTCTCTCTCTCTCTCTCTCTCTCTAAAAATAAGTTAAATTCTAATATGAAGTTTTTGAGATTGGAAAGTCAGCTCTTGCAAAAAACTGTGAAGAATGTATGAACATTGGAAAGATGGTCTTCAAGCCTGCTTGAGGGTTTGGGAGAACGAATACTCTGGGAAAATATGTGTCCCACAATTTCTTTAATATGTAAGGTTCAGAATGTACAACCATTAATGCCTGTTTACAATACTTAAAAGGTGAATAAATAAATATGAGGGTGTCTACTGTGTAAACCTACGACTCGGTTATCACATTCCATGTACACTAACAAATTCCTTATGGACTGGCCTCAGGGATAACAGCAGATTCCTGATGGGCTTCTGTGCAGGAATGCCCTCTGTTTCTCTTTTTAGCCAGCACTGATGCACCAACAAGGCTATCTGAGGACCAGAAGTGCACCCCTCTGTGGTATTTCCTCAGACCCTGGCACAGATAGTTCAAGAATGTGAGGAATGAAGGCCCTACCTGGTGGACAGCAACTCACAAAGTGTCAGGGTAGCCCTGTTAAATTAGTATGGCCAACTGCTAATCCCCTTGTGCCATGGGGGTTGAGGGATTCTGTGTTTTCTAGAGGGATAGTCCCTGATGGATTCAAGAGAGAGTTGTCAATGTCTAACTGCAATTGGCATCGCCCTGGCACTTCACAGGAATAAAAAGGACCCTAGAACGCTATGGCCACCCTCCGTCTGGACACCCCCCTAATGGAAGTGCCCATCAGTGAGCTAGGGTTTAGGAAGAAGGGAGAGTATTACAGTGTGTGTCTAAACAAGAGGAGTGCATGCAATTCAAATGTCTCCAGTTTTCTAGAAACAAATCCACTTAGAACGTCAGTCACACAACAGTATTTCTAGTACTCCAATTAACACCATAATTGAAGAGGAGATTCTCTGGTTTTATTTATGCTGAGAAGAGCTGTTTCCTCCCCAGAGAGTGACCTATTCTTTGTCTTACGCCAAGAAAGCCATAAGAAAAATGCTGACCCATGAAGGTGACACATCATGCTTAATCACTACTTTCAATTAAAACAATATAAAATAAAGCATGTACTGAGCCATTCAGGCAGAACATAATATCTCAAGCAACAGACACATCTACTGAGACACTTGACACTTCTGAGGTGTCTGGTTCCCAGCTCTGTATGGAGAGTAAATCCATGATATTAGGTGTTGGGTTGCCCTGGAGAAACTCAGGGCAGAGCTGTCACAGTAAGCTACATTTGCTGGTAAGAGATTTGATAAGAGAGTTCTCAAGAGTTGCCTTAGCTTTTCAATACAACAAACTCCCAATACTAAGAGCTAAAAAAGGTTTGCAGCCATGGATCTCCCAATGGGAGGATGCCCTTCAGTGGCTCACAAGATCTGGCCCTTGCCTCCTTCTCTGGGCTTATATCTGGCTACCTTCCACTAGCACAGTAGTTTTCAAACAAGGGGACAGTCTCCCGTCCAGTCAGGACCCTGGGGCAGAAGACATGCCTACCTTCCATTATTCCAACAGCTCACTTCTCAAAGGCAGCTTCAAGCCAAGTGTTTAAGCTGGGGTGAGGCTGAAGCGAGAAAACTCAGCACTGGTTTCTTTCTCTTTGGCTCAGCTCAGCCAAATGAAAATTCCTCAAAAAACAACTGCTTGTTTTTTTGCTGGTCTCTTCAGACAGTGTAAAGCAGCCACGGTCTTTCACAAAACTTGCATCTAGGGAAACAGGGTAAGTGCACAGAGGGCTTTTCCAGCTTTCTCCAACCACTGAAGCCACTCAGGACCCTTCCTGCCCATGAGAAGGCTGAGCAAATGGCCACAAGAAAAGTCACTGGAAGAGGGTCATTTAGTAGAAGAATTTCCACAGGTTAAATGGGCTTTCTAAACTCTAGAGATTCCATATGCTATTTGCATGACCAAACCATCGAACAGTGGTATCCAGCTCTACCACAATCCATATAACAGGCCCACAAAACAGGTCTCTGCCATTTTAAATCCTTCAGTGGCTCATAGGATCCGGCCCTTGCCTCCTTCTCTGGGCTTATATCAAATCACTTTCCACTAGCACAGTAGTTTTCAACCAAGGGGTAATTCTGTCCCCGTATGGGATACTGGGCAACAATCTAGGGACATTTTTGGTTGTTACAATTAGAATGAAGGCAAGGGAATGCTACAAAAAATCCTAAAATGCAGAAGACAGTCTCTCACTGAAAAGAATTACCTGGTCCAAATATCAAGTGTCAAGGCTGAGAAACCCTGTTCCAGCCATATCAAACTTTTTGCTATTCTCTGAGCATACCAGACTTTCTCATTTGCTTTTGTGCTTAAGCACATTCCTTTACCTGGAACGCCTTGCCCTACATTCCCTGTCCAGGAAATTACCATTTCCATATAGAATCCTATTCAAATGTTGCCTCCTCTACATCATCCTTCCCAGATTCCTCAGAGTTGGATGTTCCTTATTCTGTGCCTCCAGAGCTTCTGGTACATACCTTGTTAGAACACACTCATTATGTTACCCCAAGATACTCTGCCACCTGCTGAAGGCATGTCTCAAGTTGTATTCATCATTTATCCCTGTAGTGCCCATTTGGTAATCACCAATTTAATCAGGGAATAAATCAAAATGTTATACCTTTTCCATTGGAAATGGAAAATATGCACCTTAGACTCTCTTGCAACTATGTATAAGGGATAATAGTATCCTCAACATTAAAAATAGCAGCAGCAAATACTTATCAAGTGCTTGTAATGTGGACAGGCACTATATATTAAGCACTGATACACATAGTAACTCATTTCATCCTTACAGTAATCCTGTCAGGTAGGTATCATTATTATCAGCATTTTATAGATGGAGAAATTGAGGAACCAAGAAATCAGGCCATTTGCCTTGGGTCACTGACACTAGCATCTGAAAAAGGTGATATTTAGTCCCAGGAAATCTAGCCCCAGAGCCTCAATATTCCAGTATTCATGCCAAGGCAGTTATACTAAAACCCAGTATTTCAGCCGCTCAGAGGCCCCTGGCAAGTATAAATGACACCTCCAGAGGACTACACAGCCACAGAGTAGCCACCAGCACCTGTGACCCTGCTTGTGGGGATCACACAACTCTTCAACTCTGGAATGCTGCTGGCAGGAGACGCAACCTCTTCACATAATGGAACGACATACGTATTCCAGAAAATCATAGTACCATAAAGAAAATACAAGTGCTGATTTCTCCAAGTACCTCTTACCTTGTTCATGCTGCAGGGACAGGAGCAAGGGATCAGACATGCCACAATGCGAGGCAGCTCGTGATGATTCTCCTCATTCCTGGAGCCCTCAATTTCTGAAGCAGACAGCTGCTCTGTGAGTATAAACAAAGAAGAAATCCATCAGCTGGTGCTCAGGGAGGCACAGAGCACTACCATGTCCAGCGGCACTTGCTGCCATGATGGCAATGATCCAAGTCTGCACTGTCCAACATGGTAGCCACTGGTCCGATGTGGCTATTGAGAATTTGAAAAGCAACTAGTACAAATGGGGGCTGCCACAGCTCAACAGCTAGAACTTCTACAGAGTTGCTAGGAAGGCAGTGTACCATGAGGAAATTCAGGAGGTCAGTTTTCCATGGGCCAAGTGAACGAAACAATCCAATTCCACCCCAATAGAAAAAGAGTTCACCATGTTTTTATTCATGCTATTTATTCTTTACACGAAGTTTCTGATTAATATGAATTACACTGTAGAGTAAAAGAGTCATTGTACAGTTTCAGGGTTCTTCTTCATATTTGTAATTTTTTTGACATAGAGTCTCATTCTGTTGCTCAGTTGAAGTGGAGTGGCATGATCACAGCTCACTGCAGCCTCAACCTTCTGGGCTACAGTGATCCTCCCACCTCAGCCTCCTGAGTAGCTGGGACTACAGGTATGCACCACAACGTCCAGCTAATTTTTGTATTTTTTGTAGAGACAGGGTTATTCCATGTTTCCCAGGCTGGTCTGAAACTCCTATGTTCAAGTGATCCTCCTGCCTTAGCCTTCTAAAGTGCTGGGGGATTATAGGTGTGAGCCACCACACCTGGCCAGTTTCAAGGTTCTTAATTTCTCCAATATTAGGGAAAAAATTTTTAAAAAATAACTTCAACCACTTAAATGGATTTGCAGCTTTTCCTCTGAAAGGTGTTCACAGGTGGAATTGAGAAGAGAGCAAAATGTTGTAAGGTTCCTGATGGTTAATTTGTGTGTGTGTGTTTTTTAAGTTGCATCTAGAAAAGATTTATATATCTGTACCTTCCCATAATACATGGAATTGGAGGTTTAATTGGAACTGCAGTGCTTTTAAAAATGAAAAAGACTATTTTTAATTATAATATAGTAACAATTCAGAATATGTTCAATGGGAAAAGAAAAAGGTACTCATAATCCCACTAGCCCACTATAACCATCTCTAGTTCTTAGTAATCAGCCTTTGTCTATATTGGAGAATTACATGTCTGCTAATAAGTCCAGGACATGGAGAATCCCAAAGCTGTATTCCCCATATTAACATCTTTCACTAAGAAAATGATTTTGCAATTTACATTTTCAAAGATAAACTCCTACTCCATGCACATTACTATTCTGTGAACATAATATTACTACATTCCTTTTATAAATCAGAAGATAGGGAGAGAAAGCTGCAAATCACTCATTGACTATTTGAAATACAGATTCCAAAGAAAATACCACATTTAGTCATAGCAGTAGCATATTTTAACAATAATGTACAACATGGAGAGATCCTGGAATTCCAACTTTGTAGTATGAATACATCCAAACATTGCCACATGTACATGATGCTTGGGTAATCACAGCTTCAAAGTCAAGAAAATTCAATACCTAATTCTAATTGATATTAAAGTGACTGAAAAAATAATGCATATAACTTTTACTCTTTCAATTTCTAGAAACAGATGCTAATACATTTCTTACTTTTAAAGCAGACCTTTATACATACGTTTCCTTTTCAATGTATGTATCAATTCATTTAAAAACTACAGCCTAGCACTTAACTGGAAAGCTTGCCTAAATGCCTAGCAGAGATGCCTCATGTCACAATTCCAATTCTATGTACACATTGGTATCAACACAGGAAAGGTGGGCACAAGAAGATAATAACAGACAAGGATTCTTGAACATAATTTCCCTGAGGAACCCCACCCAGCTCCAATCATGCCACAATCCCTGTACTCTCAGAACTTGGATAAATAGCTTGCACTGAACTGATTACAGATCCCTTCCTGTCCCCCAGCCCAACTGTTCTTATGTTATTTTCATGTATGTTGTTTTACAACCAAATCAGGCTAAAAACCCTTTGAGGGAAAATATTAGTCACACAGAATGTTTTAAAATAAATATTACTATAGCTTTTTCTTTGCTCTCATTCACAGGGCCTAGGATGATGCAGGCTTTTAGATGTGGGGTCTTAAAAACAATATTAATAATTGTTGCAGCTGCCTTTGGAGTTCTTTTAAAAAGGAAAATCTCTTAATGCCAGGGTTGCAAATCTTTTAAAAAATATTAAGAATATTATACAGCTGTATAGTACCTCAAACTGTACAATGCACTTTTATATTTACACTCTCATTTTATACTAATATCGACCTGGGTGGTAGTTTTCCTAATTTGGAAACCAGACTCAGAGGTAAAAGAATTGTTCTTGGTTCTGCTGTAACAAGCAACAGACCCTGGGCTAGAAGTGACTTCATTTCAAGACACTATGGAATTAAAGCATGTGAAAGACCACAAATAAACACAATACACGCCAACACACACACACACACACACACACACACTAAGACCACCATTTAACAGAAAACACCTCAGAAAACAGATGACAATTTTGGAAACTGGGTCAGTTCACTTCTGGACAGCAACCAAAAAGACTGGCCTTGTTCTATCAAGTACTTTTCATCTCCTTTGAAATAGAGAGAACCTGTTTGTCTGCAGCCAATTAAGTTTAAGAAGCTTAGCAAAATCTACAGCTTAAAAAAGGAGACTACATCTTAAATACAAAGCAGTAGGGAAAAAGATACCTGAATGACCATGGTGGAATCAAGATTTCTTTTTTTTTTAGTTTATTATTCAATGTTTCTCTTTAATTTTTTAAGAAGTTGGATTCCTCTAGTACTGAACAAAAGGAAACCACAGATGCATTTAAAGGGTGCCTTGAAAAAGTTAATCCCATAAGCCCCTGTATGACTTCCACTTAGTTGATCCTAACAGTTGGTTCAATGGTCAATCTTAGACTTCTAAAAGGTTAATAATTTGTCTTTCCAGGTAGACAGAAGTATAAGTAAAGAAGAAAGGTGGGCCAAACTAACAGAATTCCAGCACTCTAGGAGGCTGAGGCGGATGGATCACTTGAGGTCAGGAGTACGAGATACACCTGGCCAACATGGTGAATGAAACCTCATCTCTACTAAAAATATAAAAATTAGCTGAGCATGGTGGTGTATGCCTGTAATCCAAGCTACTTGGGAGGCCAAGGCAGGAGAACAGCTTGAACCCAGGAGGCAGAGGCTGCAGTGGGCCAAGATTGCACCATTGCACTGCAGCCTGGGTGACAAAGTGAGACTTTGTCTCAAAAGAAAAAAAAAAAAAAGAAAGCAGAGACAAAGTAAGTCTAATAAGAGAGAACTGACAAGAAAAAAATGAAGGATACAAAAAATGGAGAAAAACAAAGGGTAAGTAGGCAAACAAAGACATAGGTTTGCTAACATGGCCAAGTGCCCCTCACCAGCCAGGTCCTCACTATGGAAAGGACCCAGAGATTTGGGCCCTGGTGACAATTCCACATCTATGGTTTCTCTGGGGTTATATTCTCATGTCTCAGGTGTCAGCAAATGGAAGTTGGAGAAAAGTTAACACCAGGCCTACCTGATCCACCATTATTTATTTATCATCAACCGCCATCTACCATGGAGAGAAGCCTATTTTACCTGGATCACTGCTAATGTGGTGTAGAGGTATGCTGAGAAGAGCATAAGCCACCTTTATCCTATGCTCTTTAAAGAGGAGCTTAAGTGTCAAGGGGTGTGTGTGTGTGTGTGTGTGTGTGTGTGTGTGTGGTGTTGCTTTGGCCCTTGAAAATGCAACTAATACTTACTATCAATATCGAATGGAATATGGTGAGTTGGGCTTTTCTTCCCACTCCAACTCCCACCCACTTCTATGATGTCCATTTTAGAAGCCTTCTGTAATATATCTCAAAGTTGGGTAGGCCAGGTACTCCTTTGGGAGACAGGCCAGCAAGAGCAAGCAGGTCACTCTTCGCAGTGTTAAAGGTCTCACTAGCTTTTAGACATAACGCAACATGAGGCCAGCCTGTGGGATGGACTATTGTCCCTACCCTTCCCACTACCACACCCAACAGCTTAGGCAGAGGGCTGCAGCATAAGGGCCTATGCCAGACCCAAGAGCTTTTGGAGAAGGAATAAGTGAAGTAATACAAGGTGAACAGGCTCTGAAGTCTAGAAAAAAGTGCTCCTGCAACTAGGACTTAGAAACTTGGGAAATCAGACGGACAGGTGATAGCAATATCCCTAATTTCCTCTAGTCTATTTTAAGGGGTAGAGTAATTCACATGGCTCTGAAGTTAAGTCTTGTCAATCTTCAATTGGAAACTTTCAAATGAAAAAAAGTAAGGCCATTTTATTACAGAAAGGCTAATCCCTCCCTTCTAAAATAGGAGGAATGGTGCTGGGATTAAAAGATCCAAAGGCAAAGAAACTAGACTCCTGCCCCCTTCTCCCAGTACACACACATCTCCTTCCCGAGCAGCTGCCTCACTCCCTGCTTCCTAAAGAAGAAGCAAGAGGAACAGAGTAGAGCTTACCAAGGAGCTTCCTGTAGGTTCCTCTCAGTCCTCAAAGTTATAGCAGATGTGTGCCTGTGGTTCTCAAGGACTTCAGTGTCCTCAACACCCCCACGTGAAGGCAGTAAACACATTATAATACGGTTCTGCCCGAAGACACTGGACAATGTTTGCCATTCTGCATTGCTCCCCTGTGCGCTGCCTTCACAGTATACCATTGAAAACAGACATTCTAAGCCAGAAAGACCAGAGTATCTTCTCGTCAAACATCATCAATGGCCTTCCTCCCCAAGGATAGATTAGGTAATTTTAAAATGAGTGTTCTCAAATTTTAACTAGTATATGAGTTGTGGTTCAATAGGAAACGGTGATAAAGAAGAGGAAACAAGAGGATGATATATTATAAAAGAGAGACACATTGTTGGTAACACACACACACACACACACACACACAAATGGTCTGAGAGCCAGATAGGGAGAAACAGAGGCCACGAAAGGGCCAAGGGTGA